TATATAATGCTTTTAATGTATTTTGAACACCCCTTTTACCCTGAGAACTGTTTTAGCTCTTCCTTAGCACTTGCTGGCTCTTTGACGGCTTTAAGAGCCAAAAATCTGCCCATCCCTGTCCATATGGGTTGTGTCTACCTTTTAGACTCTGTTATCGGCCACTACAAAATTAAACTACGTAGTAAACGTTGGTATATATGAACTTTTTATAATTCCCTTGATAATACTATGCGTAGTTCATGGCTTTTATATCGAAGAATAATTGCTGAAAAGGTCGTACTAGTAAAATCCTCAACTCTGCTGAATTCAGAATAGCTATAGCAGAAAAGATATGTAAATATCACATAATCAACAGTACAAAGCGCAAAGAAGAAACGTCCGGCTCAACACGTTTCTCCGAAAAATGTGAACTTGGACCAATAGGGGCATAGCCAGTTTGGCTAGAAAAACGAATGACGTGCAAATTTCAAGACTGCAAGGGTTATATGCAAACATGCTGTGAAAAATTTGGAATTAGTTTGGTTTACAATAAGCGAAATAACTGTTTAAAAAATTTTAAAATTTCCAGGTGTAACTTCATTTTTGTAGCACTATTGACGCAATGTTGCATTTCTGCAACATATAGTTTTTTTTAGAAAAATAAATACCTAGTTTTTTAAATTTTCTTTTTCATTGTTATTTTCGTTAATACACTGTTTACCATTTGATATTTATAAAATTAATGACCTTGCGCCATAAAGGGTTAATACATCCTGCTGGGATGAAGCGACCTGCAGCAGCAGACAATCCTGCGGAATTTACGTTCACCTACGTGAACGTCGGTTGGTATGGGTAGTGCAGTGAAGGCGCTTTCAGTAACATCCGCGAAGCCTTTCCAGTCAGCTTTAGAAAATCTGACATAGGTCCGGTGATCCGCGGAAGCAAAGTCGGCTGGTTTATCAATCGAGATGATTATGGACAGATGGTCCGATGCTAAAGTCCGTATACGCTGTTTATCAGACCAGCACTGCCTATGGTTAGGTCTGGCGAGCTGCAGCAGCTGCCCATACGACGACGACGAGGCCCCCGTCAACCGTCGTGCTGAGCAGACGTATTTTTCTTTGCTCGTCAATTCAAATCGAATTACAAAGTAAATCTTAGCGTGAGAGTGACTATGTCGATCTTAAATGTTGATACAATTGTGCGAATGTGAACTCTTTATCAATCTGAGACAGTGACTCTTGTGATAACAAGCACAAGATAAGTGATAACATAAAAATCATTATTCTGTGCTTTAATCTAAAATGCCTTGCATATGTAACCAAAAGGTTGGTCGGTCTCGACAATCGATTCAGTGCGCTCAGTGCAATGAACTCTTTCATTTTGGCTTGTGTTGGTATAAAGCAAGCTGATGCTGAATTTCTCGCCAGTTCTGATAAGGGCTTTTTATGCAAAGTCTGCGCGGACATTCGTCGACGGTCATTCCGTTCGTCTCCCCCGCTTCCACCTGCTTTGGATGAAAAGCAAAGTGCTTCGCCTAATATTGTAGCTAAATCCGACTCTCTAAAAAGTGCTAATTTGAAATCGGCAGCCTCGGTCAAACAGTCTGTTAATACTCCGATTGAAGCCAAGACCCAACAACAAGAAATAACTTTGGGATCGTTGTATAATATTATTGTCTCTCTTCGAGCCGACAATAACCGAATGTTCAACTGTATCACTGCGCAGCGCGATAAAAACAACAAGCTAGTGTCGAAAATTGATAATTTGCATTCTGATCTTCTTTCTATGCGGTGTGCTCTGCAAGAAAACGACGGTGCGATTGCCAAAGTATCTGTTCGAATTATCTAACGCCTAGTTTTAATTTTAGGCGTTGCAATTTTGATATTGTCAACCTAGAAATCTCCTCCACAGGCTGGGAATCACTATTTTCTGGATTCGATGTTACGGACTGTTATACTATTTTTAAAGATAGAGTCAATGAAATCTGTGTGAACAATATTCCGCTAAAAAAAACAAAACTGCTACAAAATCCCGTGGTATACTAAGAAACTAAAGAATTTGCGAATTAAGTTTTACAAAAAATTCAAATCAACTAAAATTTCTGCTTTTAAAGATTCGAGAGAGTTTAAAAAGTTAGGTAAAATTCTTCAGAGCACGTATATTCGTAGTTTCGAGACGGATATCAAGGTGAATCCAAAGTCGTTCTGGAACTATGTAAATTCAAAAAAATCGGGCTCTAGTATTCCCTCGGAAGTCTTTTATAATGGGACCCATGCCTCTTCTTCTTCTGACGCTGCAAATCTTTTTGCTGACTTCTTCCGCTCGAATTTTGTGACACAGTCGGACACCTCTCAGGGTTTTTTCCAACTGTGGATTCTCCAATTAACTTTGGCAGGCTCTCATTATCTCTTGATGATGTAGTTGATGGCATTTTGCAAATCAAATACTCATTGCAGACAGACGTTGATGGCTTATCATCGTATCTTCTTAAGAATTGTTTGGCCTTTGCAAACCCACTTCTGTTACTATTCAATAAATCACTTGGGTGTGGCGAGTTCATTGATGCCTGGAAAGTTACCTTCATTAGCCCTATATTTAAAAGTGGTGACAAAAGCAATGGCCCGTAGTCATAGTCAAAATAAAGTCGACTTTAAAGTTAGTTGCAGCTTTTTGACATAATTTTCAATGGGATATCTGTCAAAAAAGCTGCAACTAACTTTAAAGTCGACTTTATTTTGACTATGACTACGGGCCAATGTTTCCAACTACAGGCCCATCGCCAAGTTGTCGACTGTTTCAAAGCTGTTTGAATATATTGTTAAGCAGAAGTTGTATTTTACAGTCAAACGCTTAATTTCCGATAATCAGCATGGTTTCATGTCCGGTAGGTCTACTGTGACAAGTCTAGCAATTTTCTCTGAATTTTGTATGACGGCTTTCACCGGACCTATATCAACTTTTCTAAAGCTGATTGGAAAGGTTACGCGGAGTTTACCGAAAACACCTTCACAGCGCTCCCCACACCAACCGACGTCCATCTCGGTGAACGTAAGTTCCGCAGGGCTGTCACTGCTGCTGCAGTTCGCTTCATATCGGCAGGATGTATATCGGACCCGCGTCCAAACTTCCCTGCCGAAGCGGCTGTTCTAGCCGATGAGCGTGATAGCCTTCGTCAGGCCGATCCCGGAGATCCCCGTATCAGGGATCTCAACGCGGAGATTCGGCAACTAGTAAACGTACATAAGCCGAAGAAGTGGGAAGAGCATCTGAAGACCTGCAATTTCACCTCTGGTGTGAGCAAGCTTTGGTCAACCGTGAGGTCCTTGTCTAATCCGACGAAGCACGACGACAGAGTCGAAATTTCCTTCGGCGACCATGCCTCGTCGGACCCGGAGCGATGCGCGAGATATTTTAGCCGGCAGTTCATACTGCATCCTCCGGTGGACAAAGCCAAGCGTCGAGTGACCAGAAGGCTGCACAAACTGCCAACAACCTGTGCCCCCCTTGCTTTCACTTGCGGTGAAGTTCAGGTGGCCATCGGGAAGGCGAAAGCCTCCAAAGCCATGGGTTCCGACGGAATATGCATGCTGATGCTGAAAATTTTGGGTCCTGCGGGGGTAGCGTACCTAACGGAGGTCCTCAACTTGTCAATGGCCACTCTCATCATCCCAGACATCTGGAAGGTGGGAAGAGTGGTCCCACTGCTCAAACCGGGGAAACCAGCCAACAAAGGAGAACCTTATCGCCCGATAACACTCCTTTCCCCGGTAGCGAAGACACTAGAGGCCTTGCTGCTCCCGTATTTCACGAGACACCTGACCCCAGCGAAGCATCAGCATGGTTTCCGTAAAACGCACAGTACAACAGCACTTAACGTCATAAACGCGCAGATAACACGTGGCCTAAACCGCAACCGTCGGTGTGAGAGAACTATTCTAGTAGCGTTGGACCTGTCAAAGGCGTTTGACACCGTCAGTCACTCTACGCTACTAGAATGCATAGAGGCTTCCTCTCTCCCACAGAGGCTCAAGCGGGGGTCGGCGAATTATCTGATCGGTAATGTTTAGAGACAAATCGAGCAATATCAGAAAAATAAAACACGGGGTTCCACAGGGTGGTGTCCTTTCCCCATTACTGTTTAATTACTAAATTTCAAAGCTCCCTCAACCACCAGAGGGAGTCTAGATTGTCTCTTATTCCGACGATTGTTCGATAATGGCGTCTGGGAATGGAATTGATGAGTGTTCGAAAGTAAACTGGTATCTCTCGGAACTTTCTCGCTTCTTCACTGTAAGGAGCCTAAACCTTTCCCCTACAAAATCCTCTGCGATCATGTTCACCACCTGGACGAAGGAGGTCAGACTACCGCTGGGAATTCACGTCGAGGATACCCCAATTTCGACGGTGAATAACCCCAATATACTCTCGAGTAATCTTTGACCACACTTGACTTGGGCCACAGACGTGGTCACCCAAATAGACAAAATGCTTGCAGAAGTACCCTCGCCCAGGCACATTAGGAGGCATCTCTACGAAGTGACGGACGAAGTCGAGAGGTTCATTAAACAACGTCTGGACCCGTCAGCTTACCGACAGTACCTGAGCGGCATTCACAGGGAGTCAGTCTCAAGATATGTAGACTCCAGACCTGTGAATGCCGTTCTAGGCGAACAACCACCGGACATCGGCGAGACGGCTTCATCTGCCTCGGGAGACTAGAACCACAATATCTCTACTTCGCTCTGGCTACTGCAGCAGGTTAAACGCATACCTGAGCAGATTAGACGCAGATGTGCCAAATGAGTGTCCGGCATGCGGAGACACCCCACAACTCGAAGCATCTCTTCGTATGCCCGGAAAACCCGACACCCTTTGTACCTGTGCACCGACCCCATTGAATCTGCACGCTTCTTGGGGCTTCCGTTAGTGGAACTTGACGATAATAACTGAGATATTAACCGAACTGGGCGGCGTTGGTGTATCCGCTACAACAACAACAATGGAAAAAGATAAACAAATTGATTTCAAGACAATATTTATTTAGTAGCAGAATGGTATAGAGTCTCTTACAAGTTTAATAGCGTTTGTATATTCTGGAGTCAAAGTCGGATCGCTTTTCAACAAATCATCTAAATTTGATGAGCAAGAGAGTAAAGGTGCTGCTTTTTCCGGAATCATGCGGGTCGTTACCCTAATCCACGTCTTTTGTACTACTTCTAACTTTCCCGTGAGTATTCGAGAGAACATAGTATAATCATGTAAGGCAGCAAATTTTATGACGTGGCATATAAGGAGACATAACTGTTCTTGAAAGTGGTCTCTGTGATTATATTCGTAAAAATTTTGTAAGTTATAAGATTGCTCAATAGCTCGAATTACTGTGTTCCATATCATTTCATAGTATTCTCCGAAATATTTTCTCTTAGATATATGAATTAGAGCAGTTGTTGCATTAATTTTTACTTTATAATTCGAGTGGTTGCAAATTACATGACAGAGGGTCGGATAAAGTGACGATCGCCAGTTGAAACCTTCATAAAGATTGGTGCATAAAAATATATTTTCATTGTTTACCATATTTTTGACCGCATAGCATGCATTCCATTTGACTTTCGATGTTCCGGAAGAGCGTATACCATCAATTAACATCGTTATAGCGAGTTTGATAAGAGTTCTATCCAAGATATTCTTGATATGGTCTTCAGACAGTAGTCCTAGCAAATTGCCTACAGTTCGAACAGCATTACAGCGCACTTTATCATTATCATTGCAAGCTTCGGTTGAATATCTAATTAGGTTCAACAATACTTCATCCGAAATTGATTCATTGGATGCATCCATACTATTTTCTAGCAAGGCATCACTAATATTTCCCATAGACCAAAGAATTTTAATTCGTACGGCAATATTTTTATCTTTTGCTAATCTTAAAATCAATCCTGCCGTGTTTTCAATAAAAACAAGGTCAATACGCATTGAAGGAAAGGTAACAAAAACGGATAAAGCTCGCACGGCTGTCGCCCGAATTATCACTTCCTCCGTAGGGTCACTGCTCATACCAGTCAAGAAACTCAGTAAAGTTATTCGGATAGACTGCACCAAGTTTTCAAAAACGATCCCGCTAATGCTTGATATTGTATCACACAAAGTAATTTTAACAGCTGTCTCTTTTTCTCTAGGTATTAAATTTATTATTACAGGTAGCATACTAATCAAGAAACGGGTACAGATGTCAATATTTTGTGTATTATCATTGTTATGTAAAAACGCGGTCATCTGATGAACACATGTTTCTAAGCATTTCGATCCGCATAGCCTAATTTCAAGTTGACTGTCACTTAAAGCATCCTCTAAAATCATCGCGATCTCCTCCAAATTATTCTTTAAAAAGAGTTCAAAATGTGTAGCCAATGCCGACAGCATATGAAGACTTTTAATCCTTAAAGTATTACAGGTTTTTAATTTTTGACATCTTGTATTGTGTAGTGAATGGCTTATTTTCAAGTTATCAAAGACTTTCAATACTAACCACGACGATTCCAAATCCCAATTTTTATTTTCTGATTCTTGAACAGTCTTGTATACACCATTAACAGTAACCTTTTTCATGACTGAACAGTTGATAACTGGTTGCCGATACTTTTCGCATGTTAGTAAACGTTGCTTAAATATACCTAAAGATTCAGGCAGGCCCAGAGGCATTTCTGGTTCCATTAACAAACATTCCAACACGGTAAACGCAGAAACTTGGACATTTAAATCGTTGTGAGAGCAGAGTTTCCCAACCGCATTCACAAAATTGTGAACGAAACTACATTCAAACTTATCAAATGGAGTTACTTGAACCAAAGCCGCTGAACATTTTAATGCTTGTATTAATTCAGGTAATGGGACTTCCTTTTCTAAAAGCATAGTAAGCGCTTTATAAGCTGATAAAATAGTTAAACCAAGCTTTTGTGAATATGGAACAAATGCGGTTGATCGGTATTTGTATTCGGCTTGACTAAATAAAGATCTCGAGTTCAAAAAAAGATCCGCACAAACTTGTAGAGCATAGCATCGACATCTGGAACTGGTGTCAGTTTGACATACCAAAAGGATATCGTGTCGAGCATTTGCATCATCCATCTCGCTGGGAAATATTGACTGCCAAAATGAATAAAGATAATACCGGTCAGCTAATTTAGTAATATCACTCAAAAGAGATAAAGCAGTTAATCGTATTTTAATATTAAGATTACTTTGATAAACATCGTGTCGGAATTCATGAAAATGATTTTGTGAAACCTGGATGATCGTAACTTTATCTTCTATTGGCTTATCGATTATGGCTGCAGATTCTGGCATTGCATGCACAACTCCTTTGTTTCTTGTACCCCGATTTCTTTTTCTCGTTACAATTTTAACCCCAATTTTATGATAAGCATCCATGTCAACTTCGTCTTGCAAGGTGTTGAAATATCGTAAAGGCTGTAGATTCCGAATCCATAACTGCTTTTTTTCTTTAATTGGGTTCCCAAAAAACATTAATCCTAGAGAAATTCCCAATAGTTCTGCCATGTAAAGCTTAAGACCATCACTGTCGTCGCAAATAAGTTTCCTTATCAAATTCAAAGAATAATATGTTATGAGCGGGTTCCTGGAGGTGCTAAATTCAGACGAGTTATGCAAACGTATCAAAAACTCCAATATCGGCTTAAGAGTCATAGTTTTTCGGTAAGATAAAGTCACGTTGTCCGGAGCATTGATTCCCATATCTATACATTCCAAAATAGATAGGACATAATCATCACATTTCTTTACTTTGTCCATATTTAGACGACTATAAATTAAGGATTTTGGTTGAAATACTTGGCTGAATCCCATCAAGCGATATTTTGGGAATAATCCCACAACTTTTATGATTGCTCTCAGTGCATAATATTCTGCAGGGCCATTCTTAGAGTAAACGTCGTAAAGCCAGTTTAAAAAGCCTTTTATCCGTTTATCATTTCTAGTGTCACAAAAAGAAAGTGAAGTTTCTATAAATCCGTTGATGCATTTAACTACTTGTTCATCCGTAGTGGAAATTGTACTAAATAAATCAAAAACAAGTAAAGTCTTTTCAAGAAGCATTCCACACTGCTTCTTATAACCTTTTAAAGTTTGTAGATCAGCAAAAATTTCGGTTATAGCTTCAGTCATTTTGACAATGATTAATTATTAGTTGAACTGACTTCAACATTTAATTAGAACTGGGAAACTATCGATGGCCCTATCGATAGTATCGATGGCTTTTGACTCGTTCCCACGACAATCGGGTCTACGTAAGGCACGGTGCACATTAGTACGATACGATATGCGATGCGATATGCGATACGTTATGGATGCGACATCGACATGCTTGGCTTGGGCAATAATACAAGGTGGTATCAGTTGTGACAGCTCAATTTGACACTACCTTAGCTCAGTAGAATGAGAAGAAAAACGGGAAGAAATGAATCCCCATATGGGGCAAAAATATAAAATTTCACATTTTCTCCTTAACAAAATTTGCCTTTTTAAGAAAACAAAGTGTGTATACTGAGAAAAAATAAAAAGCATTTAACTATATTAATGGGCAAAGAATAGTGAAAGAAGTAACACTGTTTCACGTAAGGTAGTCAATATGGCGGAATTAGAGCGAGAAGTTGCCAACTGATAACACCTTGTATTATTGCATCATGGGTAATTGGTAGGAAGCGCGGCATTTTTTGCAATAAACATGATCGTTTCACAGGCGGAATCATCATCCTAATTTTTTTTTTAGTCGAATTAATAAAAAAAAACATGTTTATGGAACTATTCCGAAAACTACTGTAGAACAGACATGACTAGTTAGGCAATGAGAAATATAGCGTCTGAGGTCAAGGACACAGGTAAATGCACAAAAGGATATTTTTCGTGATGGTTTATTTACCTTTGTTTTCATATCTTTAAAAAGAAATTTATAGAATCCAATAACTTTAATAAACCTATTTATTTTTAATTTTGAACAGCAAAAAAGATTTGGTGTTTGTTTAAATGTTAATGATTAACTATTTTGTTTCAAATATTCAAATAAATAGTAATCAAAGTACTTAGAAACAATTAGGAAATAATTAATAATGAAGTATGTATGTAGGTAATTATTTTTGATTATTCGTTATATTTTATATGTTTTTTTCTATTTAGTGTTATTTTATTATTTTTTTGATATTTTTATTAAGCTTTGTACCACGATTGTTTATTAGGAAAAATTGGAAAAGCAACAAAGTCTAAGCGGTAGAAGTTATAGCAGCTATTTCGGAGATCACCACATCTCTTCATCAGACTTCTTTTTTCTAGATATCAACAGGGATCGAACCTGCGAATTCGATGTTCAAAGTCAGAAGCGTTAACCACTGAGCTATGTACATCCCGTAAACTATTGTTGCTAATTCATTTTCCTTATTCAACCAACTACTATCAAGTGCAGCTGATTTGCCGCTATTTAAACTGGAAATCGTAATTGTTGTTGTCAATTCTATCCATCCATTTGCTTGTTTGCTTTATTGTATAGTTACAGGCAGGCTCTTCCTAAACTATGTATTTGTCAATGTTATTGTGGCTTATTAACATTTTATTTTTAATATTTTTATTGAGCTTTGTACCACGATTGTAGATTAGGAAAAATTGAAAAAGCAACAAAGTTTAAGCGGTGGAAGTTATAGCAGCTATTTCGGAGATCACCACATCTGTTCATCAGACTTCTTTTTTCTAGACTTCAGCAGGGATCGAGCCTGCGAATTCGATGTTCAAAGTCAGAAGCTATGTACATCCCGTAAACTCTTGTTGCTAATTCATATTATTATATTTAATAAGTTTTTAAATTAAAAAGAGAAAGTACAAATTTGTGTGCTCTATAACCCAATGCTACAAAAAATAATGAAGTAAAAATATCCGGTAAGTCATGTTATTTTTCAGGTAGGTTTTGCCGAGTGAAGTAAAAATCGAGATACGAAACTTTTGTCACACACCCACACAATCTTGATTTACTGTTAAAACCGGTTTTCCGTACTTATAAGCCTGTAACTCAGTTGACTATATACCGAGTTTAGACTTTTCGAATGATATATGTATATAAACTTTTAGAAAATTCAAGAGATCTGTGTGTATTTTCGTTGTTAATTTTTTTCGTCTTTTTCAAATTTCGCAAAATTTTCACGCACTATTTTATAAAGCAACTACAGTCGTGTCTCTATATAGCGAACACCCGCTATAGTGAACACCTCGATGAGTGAACACCGAAATATTTACACAGAGTACTGTAAATAGTGAACAATCGAATGCCTCTAAATAGTGAACAAAATTTTAAAAGCAACGGCAAGCATAAATTGACAAAAAATACCAAATTTAACCGGAAATGAAAGCGGTTATTCCCTGAAATTTACCACTTTATGTTTATTACTAGAAAAGCTGCTACTATGTCAAGTATGATAGAATACAAGATTGCGCCGATTGCAGCAGAATTCGTGAGAGTAATTTTAGTGTGACGTCATCGTAGAGTTGACAACTGAGAGCGGCGAGAATGAGGGCGACTAGTGATGTGCTGAATTGTCCCCAATACTCGGTACCCAGTACTTAAAAAAGATTTTATTTTATTTTATTTATTTATTTTTTACAGTCTGTTAGACTTATATTACAAAAAAGATTTAACATTCTTATAATTAGATTTTAGATTTAAAATGTAAATATTAAATATTAAATACAAAATACAAAATGCTCTACAGAAATTTTTAAATAACATTATTTCTTTATCACTGCAATTATTTTATGTCAATATAAACGCATGGAATTTTCTGGAAGTTATGTAGACGGTTGGAAAGGCCGAGTTTCCAATCCGCGCTATTCTTTTTGGGTTACTCCATTTATTGATATCTCCTGGGTGGTCAGAAAGGCCGAGTTTCCGATCCACCCAGTCGCGCTTTCGTGACGGTTGATGGTTGGAAAGGCCTTGTTTCCAATCCGCTCGTTTATTGTTTATTATCTAAGGGTCTAGGTAGTCGGAAAGGCCGAGTTTCCGATCCGCCTAGTCTCGATATCTTGGTGGTTGGAAAGGCCTAGTTTCCAATCCACGCTATGTTGATACATCACTATCTTGCAGGCTGCGTTCTACAATAGTGAAATAGCAGCCGCTTGAAAAGAGTGATAGTATCACAATTTTTTATAGCCTCTGGTAATTCATTGAAGCACTTTAAGCCTTTATAGAAAATATTTTTTTTGTCCACTTCTGTTCTATACTGTTATTCTCTTTCAACAAATTTGTATGCGTCTCATTTATATATCGGAGATTATCGCTAAGATAATCCGGCAGGTTGCCCTTCTTAATATTGTACACAAATTTCATAGCGTGGTAAAAAACTTCTTGCTTCACGCTTAACCAATTCAAGGTTTCAAGCATACATCTTGTTGGTGTGTCATACGGTTTGTTGAGGATGAATCTCGCCGCTCGGTTTTGCATTTTTGGCAGCTTATCTACATGGGAGTCCCCCGCTAGGAAGAAAATCGTGGGGCAGTATATAAAGTGCGGTTCTACTATTGACCTGTACACCAACGTTTTATATCTTCTTCCCAAGTACTAACACGATCTCTTTATAAGGCCAATTTTTTTAACAATCTTGTTGACTGTATACTCAACGTGCTCATCAAACTTTAGTTTGTTGTCTATGTATATTCCTAGGTACTTGACAATTTTCACCTCTTCGATATTTTCATCTTTGATTTTTAATTCACGGCTTATGGAGTCAGCATTTGCCGCTCTGGAAAATACCATAAAGTTAGTCTTTTCCACATTCAGTTTGAGTTTATTTGAACACAGCCATTGATACAAAGAATTAAGATCTTCTTGCATTTTGACAATCGCATTCGGTAGTTCCCTATCACTGATCGTTAACAAGGCATCATCCGCAAAGATTTTTATTTTACAATGTTTGAGAGAACTTTTAATATCGTTTATATATATATTAAAGAGAGGGGTGCCAAAACTGAGCCCTGTGGTAATCCGATGTCTACGGCTATCTTACTAGACATCTTTGAATTAACTATTGTTTGTTGCCTACGATTACATAGAAAGCTTCTAAACCAGTCAAGCTCAGTGTTTTTTATACCAATGTATTTTAGTTTATCCAACATTCGGACCCTATCAACGGTTTCAAATGCACTTTTAAGATCAATAAACACTGCCACTACATTAAGGTGTCTGTTAAGATCTTCTTTCCATTGAGAAAGCACAAGATTCAGCGCAGTCTCACAGGAATGTTTAGCTCTGAATCCAGATTGTTCTTTTATGAGTATTTTATTGGATTCCACATAGTACTGTAGCTGGTTTTGCACAACGGTTTCTAGCATTTTTTCCAAGCTAGGGAGAGTATTGATGAGCCTAAGCTCCTCAGCTTTAACCGTATTTCTAACTTTCTTGACGGGCACTACGGATGAAATTTTCCATTCTTCCGGTGCTGTTCCTGTCTGGAGACTCTGATTTATAAGTAGGGCATAGAAATATCCCATATAATCAGCAGAGTCCTTAATAACACCTTCAGAAAGTAGGTTGTTTCCCCCAATTTTCCGCTTAAATTTTTTTGCAATTTGAAGAATGTCTTCCGTTGAGACCTCTTCAAATTTTAGCGTACTTGTGGGAGCTCTTTGCCCGAAAAAATCATAGTTTACACACTCTATATTGGTATGTATTTCCAAAATGCTGTCCACGAAAAAATTATTTAGGTTTTCCGCAATTTCAAAGCTGTCTACGTAGTTGGTGTTATTTATTATCACTTCCCCAATATTTTCTTTGACCTCCGTGTTATTGACTACCTCCTTTAAGTATTTCCACATGAGTCGGCTGTCACCCTTATTTATTTCCACCTTATGCTCTAAGTATTTAATTTTTTTACACCTTACCATTTTCTTATATCTGCTTCTCACTAAATTATATTCACCCCAGTACCCTGTCATCACTGCTTTCTCATGGGATTTAGATTTATACTTGTTCATCTCTGTCAATTGCCTATCATACCATTTGTTCCTCTGCCTAATGCGAGTTATTTTTGAGTAAGTCAACTGCCTCATGGCCTACATAATGCAATGAGTAATATACTCCACCATACCGTCAGCATCGAAAAAATTTAAGTTCGAGAAATCGCACTGCCTTAGTAAACTTGTTAAGTTCTCTGGGTTATATCTCTCCCAGGATATTACTTCTGCCTCCTTAGCACCACTTAGTTTATTGACATTTAGTCGAAACATTATTGTTTCGTGGTCAGATATTCTATGATCCTCGACCTTTTGGCATATAACTCGGTTATCATTGGAATACAACAAGTC